CGTGCTAATCGGGAATGACAACAATTTTAAACACAAAGCAGTTCTAAAGAAATGAGTTTTAAATCAAAATTTGAAAGTGCGTAGCTCCATTGGCTTCCTAATATCGGAAGGAAGAGCGTTCCAGACGGCCGCAGAAGCGCATCTGAAAGCGCGCATCACCAAGAGAATATTCGAGTGTGGGGAAGTAATTTTCACGTAGATGTTACAATGCGTGGAAATGTACGCGTGCATCTATTTTGTGAATCCACTGCTGGCTGAGGGCCTTCCCACGCCGCGTGGATCGTGGGGATTATTTATCCATACATCGCCACGTTGCTCAGTGCGGGTTGGTTAAGGCCGGGAGCAAAGATGGGAGCATAAAATAAGCCTCCAATTCATTGTGCTGCTGTGCCCTCTGATCCCCATCAGATATCCCATCCGTGTGTCACAAGAAGGTAAAAAAAACACGTTCTTCTTTGGACACATATAAGTATGGACAAAGACAAACATATGCAACCAAAGCAGAAAAATGCACAAAGATGCATGGAGAGGTGCATGTTTTGAATTGTACTGAGATAGAGGGAGAACATACACAAGACATCACTTTACCTGTCAATAAACGTAAGTGGGCTTGGGCAGAACATGTCGCTAGAAGGGATGGCAAACAAAGGAAGGAACACGCCCGCGAGGATGCCCACCGGGGAGATGGAGTGATGAAATCACATCATCGCAGGCGCTAGGTGAAACGTTGCATCGCAAGAACATGAGCAATGGCGGTGGTTTCGAGAGGCCTCCAACAGCACCCGTTACATCACGGGTGATGATGACACCAATCAGAATGTCTGCTCCATTGAACATTCTGTAAAGGGCACACACTGCACACCGCTCTCCGTCCCATGCGCCGATATTGTTGTTCACAGCTGCACAGAGCGCAAGCGCGGGGAAATGCACGTGTATTCATTTCCTCTCGATGTGTAGTTGAAGTGTCGCGGATACCAAGGAGCCAACAATTTGCATGAGACGTGCGTCACTGGTAACAAGCGTGACGTAGGGCCGAGGGCCCTTTGTCCATAATGTGTTTGTTCCACGACCTGTGGAATGCGAATGTGTGGGGGGGTTGAGTTGAGGAGTGAGAGGGGTTGAGCAATTTTGGCAAAGAGTGACAAGGTGAAGATGAGAGATTTGTCGCTTGATCTGGACAATGTTTTTGAACAACATAAATAATGTCAATTAAATGCCCAGGAAGGCCTTACTTGATCTCTGCAAGACATTTTTCAGCAAGGTCCTGTTGCATCGCGAAGTTTGGTCAAACCTAGCCACACGCGAAGGGGTAACACTCAAAGCTCCGCACAGGTAAAAAAAAAAATCCATTACTCGCACAACAAGGACTCTGAAACGTCATTCACGACAGGTCTGTGCTTGCAAGGAGGAGCTATTTGTTTGAGGCAGTAAATGTCAATTTTAATGAAAATTTTAAATTGTAAGACTGTCAAAACTATTTAATATTGGACGTGAAAACTATTAGAGTACAGCATCATGTGTCGACGTATGGGGAAATATATGGTAACATAATTAGCAACACGTACATAGGTGGAGCAGAAATATGAACGATTTTCTACATGAACAACTATATGTACACCATGCCTTGCATTATATGATGTAGGGCAGCATATTCTGCCAATATATATAATAATAATAAAAATTCACATGCCTTCATAAACCCACTGTTGGATGAAGGCTTCCCTGAAATTATGGGGTGGTTTATCGACCATACTTCACCACACTGGCCAGTGTGGATTGGTGAAAGTCGGGGTTTCCTCACAGCCACTGGTGTTAACAGTGGCTGGGCGCAGAATACAATATTTAGTCAAATTCCAAGCCACTATGTACATATCACTTTATCAGGGACGTACGGTCAGGGGAGGCATGGGGAGGCAGAGCCTCACCTGTCATACTCTAATGAAAATAACTGTTACAAAAGTAAAAAAAGAATAAACAAATAAAATAAAAATTAAGATTTTTCCACTGATCTGTTATAAATGTCATTTCTGTACGATTCCAATCATTTTTATAGTCAAAATCGCCAGATTTGCGGAGTTCCGCTGCAAATACAGGAAGAGGTGAGGCAGCGACGAGCTCAGCCTCCCCTCTGATTGTGCAACCCGTCAGTAACTGGATGGAGCGCGTGCAATAAGCGCATGCCTGTTACTATCTCAGTATGCCACCAATGTAATGTTTGTAGACCCCTTCATTTCATGTCCTCGCCTTCCATACTCCAGGTAACTTATTTCACGTATGTGTATAAAGATATTTAGGCTCGCTGGTCTCGTCATGAAACTGCAATGAAAAAGCACCAGGGGAGGCAGCTATCACATCTGCCTCACTGAGGGGGACGTGTCTAACACGCCCCCCTCAGTGAGACCACGCCCCTCCGTGAGGCCACGCCCCCTCCGTGAGGCCACGCCCCCTCCGTGAGGCCACGCCCCCTCCGTGAGGCCACGCCCTCCTCAGTGTGTGAATCTGGCTCTGACACTAGCCAGTGCCTCCCCAGCCATTGACCTCACCGCACGTCACTTTATCTGTGGGGAGCGGTAGCATAGCGGTGAGCAGCACCCTGCGCTATGAACCCGGCAATCCAAGTTAGATTCCCGCTCACGGCAAATACCAGTGATGATTATCTGAACCAGTTCTGGGCCTCCCCTAGGTCGACTCAGCTCTTAAAGCCGGTGCGGTGTGTAAACCATCGCTCCTAGGGAGACAAAGGCGGCTGAGCGTGGTGTTGGCCACCCCTTTTGTGCGATGCCAGCCTTCATAGGTGTTCGCGAACAGCACTTGCCCCAAATGTCTGTTAAGGCTATACGGGGGATCTTTGTCTTCCCATCACTTTATCTATGTTGAGCAATGTGGTGGTGCAGTGGTCAGACCACTACGATAACCTGACGGAATTTGATTTCTGGCCTCGGCAAACATATGGTGAAGGATATCTGAACTGTACCCTCCATCCTGATACCAGATTAAATGCTTTTATTTTGGGATTAGCAATAATGTTTCGTGTTTAAGATTGTGCACGACGTGCGAGTCACATTACTGAAATTATCGATGCAGTGGTGACCCCATCACCACAAGCAGGGTGACATCTGGTTCCAGGGTCACATTATAAGCGGTTTGCATTCGGCACTTGAAGGTTTTTTGATAAACATTTGTTGCGATGTCGATGGGCTGTGTACACTTACCTGCAGGGGCAGTCAGGGTCCAGCAGGGGCAGTCGTTATATCCCTGGCCCGAAAGCAGGAGGGGGCTGCGGGGTGTCCTGGGATCCCCCGGAACCCCCTCTGGAACTCTCTGGAAGGTGGGCGGAGCCATGACTGACGCACCGGTGCGCGGTATAAAAGCCGGACCCAGGGAGGGTCCGGGGCCAGTCCAAGACAGAAGCCAGAAGACCAGCTAGATAGCACCCTGGGACCCCTAGCCCCGCTGCCCTTGTAAGGGCCGGGACTCTGTGTGGCCCAGTGGTGAGACCCTGGGAACCCCGGGCCTGACGTCCTTGTAAGGGCCGGGTCCGAGTGGGCCAGTGGTGGGAACCCGCACCTTGGCTGGGTCGGGTTAGTGCGGCCTCTCTGAGGGCACCCGTAGCCGGAGGACCCAGAGCTGTAGCCCCGTGCCAGGGCACGTTAGCCCAGAGGCAGTACCTCCCCAGAGGCCCTGTGTGAGACTGGGACTGTATTGCCGAGTAATTGTATTGAATAAAAGTGTCGCCTCCAAAGATCCGTCTCCGACGTCACTAGAACCCACTACACGTTCATTGTAACGCCAAACCACTGCTGCTAGACAGAGCCACCCCCCCCCCCCCCCCAACATGCTGTGCCGGTCATGGGGATTGTTTTAACCCACTTCAACCTTGTCATGTGGATTGGTGGAGGGGGCAACCCAGGACCGGTTTCTGATGTTACCTCGCCGCCGCTATTTGCCGCGGCCAAGACTAGAATCTACGCTCATCGATGGTGTCAGCTAATCAATATTTCTCTGCCAAGACCCTGGTCAGTAAATGCCGGCTTTTTTCGGCACTGGCCAATCGCCAATGCCCTTGCCTTGCAGTTATTATTTCAAGGGCAACGGAGATGCTGGAAATTGTTTTTCTTTTTCGTACCTAATCACCCAATTCATTACCCTGCCCCCTGCAGACCCACGACACTTTAATCAAGCGGTACATATGGGCCTACATGTCAATCCACAGCAGAGTGGTGGCCTCCTCCACGCTGTGTCGATCTTGGGGGTTGCTTGACCATACTTCACCACGCTGGTCAGTACGGGTTGATGAATAGAAGGACTGTACAGTACAACAGTGGATTATGATGTATTGCCCCTATGTTGCGCACCACGCATCCTTTAAATGAGCGCTTGCGGGCAATTAAATTTCGTCTGCTTTTATTTCAGGTGGCAGTAAAATCACCTGTAAAAGGGGTTCGGTCATTTTCTTGTTGACGTTTTGCTCGATCGTGTTTACATTGTCCCAAGGGCAATGCGAATACATTCCCCTAGCGCATTAAAGCATTTCGCCTCGAAATTTCTGAGTGTCTCACATTTACTCTCTATTAGTTGCCACCCAAGGAAAATTACCGATTGCTATTGATCCCCCGCAACGTGTTCCAATTACTCCTGGGGTATTCACCAGATGTCTATATTTGCCACGCGGGTAAGTTGCTCCTGGGCATTCCCCACCTCTACAGATATTTTCTCGTGTGAATTGCCCCCCAGGGGTATTCCTCTATTCAATATTGCTCACGCGTGTGAATTTCCCGCATGGCATTCACAGCTGCGTACATAATTCACCGCGTGTGAATTGCTCTCAGGGCATTCATCAACTCCTTGAACATTGCCCATTCGTGTGAACTAACCCCAGCACATTCACAACGCGCTGTATGTGTATCGGCAACGTGTGTAAATTGCCCTCAGGGCATTCACCGCCTGTGTATATTGCTCACGTGTATAAATTGCGCCCCCCACGCCACCACCAATCCATTGCCTGCGTGCGTGAATTGCCCCGTGGGCACGGCTAGGGGCGGGGTCTGTGCTGCTCGGGAGGTTTCGTGCGGGTCTGGCGTGCTGCTACAGCCGGTGGGCGACATCAACACAACTTTAACATCAACACAACTTTAACATCAACACAACAACTTGAACAGCGACGTGAAACATTAACAGCGGCGGCGACCACTTCAACGCGGACGTCATCAACATTCACTTTCAGCGACGACGACATCGTCATCATCATCATCGACACGGACGCTGCACCATCATCGCCAACATCAACACATCGGCAGAAATAAACATCGAGCCACAACTCCCGACGGCGAGAAGAGAAGGGCAGCCATAAGAAAAGCGCCTGCAAGTAACAGTGACCGCTGTAGCCGTGCTTTCCCTTGTTGGACAAACGCACTCCAGACCAGCGGCTGCTGCGTGATTTGAGCGAGAACTTGGATTTGAGTTGGCAGCGCGACTTTAGCGAGTACCCTGAAGTGTTCGAATGCCTAAAATGAGCGAGTGTCAAAATTATATCGAGCAACTTGAGTCAATACCTCCGTAATAGAGTACCCCACCCCCCCCCATCCACTAATTGAGTGCATGGTGTGAGTAACTCTTAAGTTATTCTAAGTGACTTCAGCGTTTTGAGTGACCAACCTAAAAAATGAGAGAGCGTGCGTGTGTATATATAAAACTGATTAGGTAATTGCGTGGCCGAGGGGGAAAAGAGACGGAATCCCACCCCCGCCGTGTCGAAAGTATCCAAGTGTCTCCCGATTTGAGGTAGCTGTCCTCTTCCGAAGTTGAGCGGGAGCACCTTTTTGGAGTAGTCGGGAGTATCACGCTCCGCGTTTAAGCATCTTTAAAGCGAGTCGTTAAAGCGTCTTTAAAGCGAGTCGTTGAAGCATCTTTAAAGCGAGTCGTTGAGGCATCTTTAAAGCGAGTCGTTGAGGCATCTTTAAAGCGAGTCGTTGAGGCATCTTTAAAGCGAGTCGTTGAGGCATCTTTAAAGCGAGTCGTTGAGGCATCTTTAAAGCGAGTCGTTGAAGCATCTTTAAAGCGAGTCGTTGAAGCATCTTTAAAGCGAGTCGTTGAAGCGTCTTTAAAGCGAGTCGTTGAGGCATCTTTAAAGCGAGTCGTTGAGGCATCTTTAAAGCGAGTCGTTGAAGCATTTTTAAAGCGAGTCGTTGAGGCATCTTTAAAGCGAGTCGTTGAAGCATCTTTAAAGCGAGTCGTTGAGGCATCTTTAAAGCGAGTCGTTGAGGCATCTTTAAAGCGAGTCGTTGAAGCATCTTTAAAGCGAGTCGTTGAGGCATCTTTAAAGCGAGTCGTTGAGGCATCTTTAAAGCGAGTCGTTGAGGCATCTTTAAAGCGAGTCGTTACAACCAAGCGCCGTCGCCTTCCGTGCCCGTTCGCACCCCGCCCCCGTGGCCCGTCAAATGCCGCGATGAGCCATCACCGCGACGCCGAGGCGGACGGGGAGACGTTCATGGACAGCGGGAGGCCGGGGAGCGTGGTGTGCGAGCCCGAGGAGCGCCACTACATCCCCGTGCGGGTGCTGGGTCGGGGCGCCTTCGGAGAGGCCGCGCTCTACCGCCGCAACGAGGTCAGGAAAGTGCGGCGTTAGGCCCGAGGCTCCGCGGTGCGCTAGGCCGCGCTCCCGGGAACTCCCGGGGGTACCGGTGCTCGGATAGATTGGCTGCCGGAGAAGGGCGACCAAGAATCCGTCTTAGAATGGCGCTGTCACCCCCCTCCTCCTCGCCCTCACTACGTTTCGCGGCGGTTTCTTTTTTTGTCGCGGCTAAATGCGGTATAAAGTTGTCGCAGCGTTCCGCTAAGTGTCAAGCATTTATTTTTAATGATCGAGTCTTGTGGCGTGTGTATATATATTTTTTTGGTATTTTTAACGCGATTGTGTCAGCGGGTTGCGTAGGAGGATGTGGTTTCTGTTGCCACGCACGTATTTTACAAAACCGTGAACTTCCATAGAGTAGCTCTGTTATTCTTTGCTTAGTTATATTACACTGTCCAATATAATTTGCTGATTTGCACAGTCATTATAACCACGCATCTCGAAGTTTTAAATTACAGGAAACTTTGAAAAGAAGGCTGCAAAGTTGGGCAAAAATTGTCGTTTAGTATGGGGCAAAACAAAAAGTCGCGTGCATCAAGTTTGCTCGGCAAATATAACTTGGTGTTCGTATAACGAGGGGCAGTTTATTGAAGGCGAACCACGATCAAAATGATGAAGTGGGCGAACGAGAGCAGTCTGGAAGGAGTTCTTTTTGAACCTTGATGAAAAACAACGTTACTGTACCCATTGTACCAATGGCAGATAATCGTGATTTATTTATATTTTTTTAAAACGCGTTCTCTCTGGATCTGACTAATGACAACTGAAAAAGTGGAAAAAAGCTCGACAGTGACGGTAGTGGGGTCGGGGGCAAAGCAGCGTGGAGAGATGTGGCGTGCGTGTGTGTGTGCTCAGGGTTATAATGGGGGTGGATGGGGGGCGAAGTACGTGCATGAGAATAATTATATTGCATGTTAAGAAAAGCAAGTGGACGTGGGTAAGGGGACACGTCGCTATTCAGAGACGATAGCCGGTGAAATCTTGACTTTTGTGACTTACAATAATTCATATTCTTTGGGTCCTTCGGTAAAGTCACGTAGATGATTCAAAGAAAATGACAAAAAACTACGACGTTTCGATCACTAAACACAAGCGATCGTCATGATGACGAGTGCCGGTGGTTTGCAGCCAAATGAAGGAACACGCCCAAGTCGACGTCAGTCGCAGAGAGATGGAGCAATGAAATCTGCTCCCGTGCAGGAGCTACACAAAATTGTTGCCTCCATCAAACCATGAATGACTTCAACAGCTTGTGGAGGCCTTCATCCAGCAGTGGATTGATGATGGCTGATGAGGATGACAATAATGATGCGCGCACATAAAACGACACTTTTTAAATTTATTTATTTTACCAGGCCAAGCACCCGCTGAGCTCTATAGCTCTTGTTTCAGAAGGGACCATGGCCACATTACGGCCCAATGAATTGGCTTATGTGGAAATGCATAGCAGCCAAATATTCTAAACTCGTGTTTCTGAATGTGGAGGGTGAAACACCGGGGGACCCGAAGAAAACATGCAAACTCAATATACAGGCGTCAGGGTTGAGATCGGACCCACGACCCATTGTATATTAGGCGAGGTAGTTAACATCTCGCCAACAGCGACGCCCCGTATTCAGCTCTGAAACGTGGGCATTCCTTCCCAAGAAAAGACACTGAACAAGACCTAATATCGATTGTTACTTAGGGACAGCATTCAACATCCACTGGTAGAACCACTTAAACGTGGAATATTACAGATAATCATTAATGTAATTTTTTTGATTAATGGGTTCGTTCGCTTTCGCATAAGTTTGGAAAATACAATGTGGGTTTATTATGTATATACAAATTATAGTAATACTGTATACAGCTCTTGGTCAATCGACTGGAATAAAGACCTCCCAATTTGCATATTGGTCATGGGGATTGTTTGACCATACTTCACCAAGCTGGGCATTGCGAGTTGGTGAAGGGTGCAATCAGGACATGTTCAGATGTCACTCACCACTGTTAGCCATGGACCAGAGTCAAACTCAGGAGGCTGGGTTCGTGTTACGGTTTGCGAACCATTGCACGATATTTCTACTCCCCTTGTATGTTTAATTACACGTGCCAAAACCAAAACATTACCAAAAAAACCAAGACATTTTCAAGTCAAATAGGTGTTATAGACACACTTTTTTTCCAGCTGCATTTATGTAGGTAAGTAAACTCTGGACTGATTTTAACTTTCAAGGTTCTTATCGGCAATCAAGCCTGTAACAAAAAAGCCTCGTGGACTTGTTTTTGGGTTGGTCGTCATTCGTCGGGGCCATCCTCAAGCTGTCTTGATCTCAGAGCTCTGCAACAATAATCTCGCACCTGTTCATGAGCTGATTGTATTGCTTCATCTCCATGGCCGATGTATTCTTGAGGGTGTTCGCTCCTTTGAATCCCACTTCATCATTTAAGCACCATAACTGGCCTGTACTGGTAACTATAACTGTTCAGTTGAACACGTAGTTGGCTTTCGCCACCAATATCATCCATAATATAGGTTTTTAGGTTAGATCGCGTAAATATCTAAATGTTTTATTATAACCCGCCACCACCCGACACAGCAAAATAGTAAGGGTTGTCACGTTAACAGAACATGGCCAATTCGTCATTAGTACAGCACTAGTGTGTAGTGTGTAGTAGTGTGTACTGTAGTATACTAGTACAGCACTAACCGGTGTGTTGGAGAGCCAAGCCACAACATTTACACACTGAATACGGCGTTTCGCCAGTAATTACAACCAGCTTCATCAGGCGACAGCCAGATTTGGAGAGAAGTCTTACTGTTTCGTTCCTTATATAGAGTTGTAGATGTGGTGACCACGCTTCTGTGCTCATGCACAATGATGGGGGGGGAGATGACTGAGTCTGCGTACATTATGCATGTGCATTATGTGAGCCCTTTGAACTTGTCCTTCCTGTCTATTGTGTTTATTAAAATAGCCCCACCAACGGTAATCTCTATTGAAGTACGCTGCCCTTTGTAGGCATTCATTTAAATAATTTATTATTTGATGATTCGCTTCCACGCAGCACGAAGACGGTAGCTATCCGAACGGTTAAAGTTATCTTGATTTCTTTCAATTTCGATAGATTCTATAATTAGTCTTGGCCAGTAGTAGCTAGTTTTGTACAAAACTTCAACATGATCAAAATCAATGGAGTGTCCTTGTTGGCACGCATGTTCTGCTACTGCTGACATTTGCATTTGGGAGAATTAAATATTTTTCTGTTTGTCCAACATAACATTTACCACACGTGCAGTTAATCCTGTACACACCTTCTGTTGATAGCTTCGGTAATACATCTTCTGTACCAGATATTAAATTCTGTATTTTATGTACCGTGCCAAATCTGACTGTGATGTTTTGTATTTCCAAACATCGGGCTAGTTTATAAGTTACTACCGCAATGTACGGTATTTTGATCGTTTTAATTGCTTGGGCAGTTTCAATGCTCTTGTTATTTGGTTTTGGTATTCAATGCTCTGTTGCTTTGTGCACCATTGTAACCGTTCATTTGCAGCGCTTCTTTAACATGTTGAATTTAACTTCTCAGACTGTTACCATCTGACACTTTCTTAGCTCGATGAATGAGCGTCTTGATAAGAGCAGATTTATGTGCGAGTTGATGGTGTTACTCTGCATTCAGATAGGCGTCCGTATGCGTTTTTCTTTCGGTAAACACTGTTAATTTACCATTTCTACCACGTCCGAGCAGAATATCCAGAAATGGTAGAGTTTTGTCAGCTTGCACTTCCATGGTGAACTGGATGGATGGGTTTTGCGAGTTACGATGATTTAGAAATGCGTTCAGTGGATCTTTGCCGTGTGGCCAGACCACCAATGTGTCATCCACATATCTAAACCAAGCAGATGTTTTTTAGTGTGCTTGAAGCTATTGCTTTTGTTTCAAAATCTTCCATGTACAAATTCACTATCACAGGAGACAAAGGAGAGACCATTGTTGCTCCTTACTTTTGTTTATAGAAGTCACCTTGCCGCAAGAAGTAGGTGTTCTTTAGACAGTGTTCAGCGAGTCTTGGGATGTCTTTGGCTAAACCTTTGTTCGCTACCAGAGTGTCGAGTAATTTAATTGACTCGTTGACCGGAACCCTCGTGAACAGAGAGGTCACATCAAAACTTACGAGAATATCATTAGGATTAAGCTGAATATCTTTAATTATATTTACGAGATGTTCAGAGTTTTTGATGAACGAAGAGGTCCTACCGATGTAGGGCTGTATTTGTTTCGTTACGTATTGTGCTTATTTGTACGTGGCAGAGCCTATTGTACTAACGATGGGTCTTAATGGGACATCAGGTTTGTGAATTTTTGGTAGCCCATAAAGTCTTGGTGGTTTTGATGCCCTTGGTTTGATCAGGTATTGCTTTTCCTTGGGAATTGATGACTTGGCAATGATTGCCGTTGTTTTACGTTCCAAGGTGCTGGTTGGGTCTCGTTTAATTTTAAGGTCGGTACCTTAATCGAGTAAATCTTTGATTTTATTATCATAGTCCTCACGGGGCATTACAACACTCGATCGGCCCTTATCAGCAGCAAGAATTTGGATATCTTTATTTGCTCTCAATTCTCTTAAGGATTTTGCTTTACTGAAGTTAATATTTGCACATGCATAATGTACATTGCCTCAGTAACCCCCCCCCCCCCCCCCCACATTGTGCAAAAGCGCAGAAGGGTGGTCAACACATCTATGCCTCTATATAAGGAACGAAACTGTAAGACTTCTCCACAAATCTGGCTGTCGCCTGATGAAGCTAGTTGTAATTACTGGCGAAACGTCGTACTCAGATTGTAAATGTTGTGGCTTGGCTCTCCAACACACCGGTGTGCTTTACTAGTGACGAATTGGCATGTTCTGTTTTCGTGACAACCCTTACTAGTTGGCTGTATTGGGTGGTGGCGGGTTTTAACGACACATTTACACGATCTAA